TATATATATATAAATGTCAGAGAGATGCAAATAATGCTCGTTTATTTATTTACTCTGTACCCGCCACTTTGTTCGGTCGCGCTTTTACCATCTACAGCTGCAGAACGCAAATGAGCCTATCCGTCTTCATTTTCTCTCCGGCGAACGAACCCTCCCCTCCTCTCCGGAGTTTTGAAAGCCGGAACCCTAACTTTGATCGGGAAATGGAAAGCAATTGCCGTGCGGGAACCGCACTGATGTCTCCGGAGAAGCAGGGGAAAGCGGGTGGAGACCCTTTTCTCGTCGAAGAGCTGCTGGATTTATCCGGCGAGGAGGAAGAAGATACGGAGATGATGGCCGCCGAGGAAGACGGACGATCGGAGGAGACGGGAGGTAACTGCTCCGCCGATAGCTGTGCTAATTCATTTTCCGGCGGTGGTTCGCAGACTCGCTTCTCTGATGAACTCGTTTACCGGAGCCTCGCCGATGTCGGACTCTCCGGCGAGCTCTGTGAGCCGGTAATTTCATTTTCCTCATTATTATTTATTTACTTCATTAAATAAAAAACTTTTCAAATTTTAAAACCGTTGGTGTAATTAGAGCGGCGGTTCATCCGTTCGCTTTTCTAGAAGTTTCTGAATGCATTCAAAACTTTATATATATATTTAGGGTCTGTTTGGGGCAGCTGTAGCTTATTGAACAATCTGCTGATATGCTAGATGCGATCACCATTATAAATTTTTATTTTTTTTGAAAAAGTCAGACCGCACCCAGAAAGCTCTCACTTCACCTAGATAGGTACGACTTGAAAACATTATTTTTAACATTTTGAAAATGCATAAACTGCCAAAACACAATTTACCTAAACATGTTAGGTACATTTTCAAAACACCACCGCATCAAATAAACTGCCCCAAACGGGCCCATAGAATTATTTGAACTTATCATCTAGCGCGGGTTTGGAATCATTGAATTGAAATTCAAATGAAAATATATTAATAAAAAAAAGGGTTTTAGGCTAAAAATGAGTTTCATGAACAGTTAGGGATGCCTGATTTTTATTAAAATTATTTATGCTGAAAAATATAATTTAATATGCTTTCATTGAGAAGAAATTGAAATAATAATAATGAATATAATGATTTCACATGATCATATTCTCATATTTAAATTATAATGTTAAATAGAGGCTAACATTATTAATTTCTAATAAATTATGCTTAGATGCTACGTTCCTAAAAACTATAAGAAAACTCACCACATTCACTTTTATTAGCTTGAACGACACTACATGATAATAATTTTTAAAATCAGCAGCACATGTTCATTGCCTAAACTTTACTTTTTACATTTATACCACCAATCTAAATCTTTCATTTGCAAAAATATCATTATTTAAACATACATGCATACATACATACATACATACATACATATATATGCAGGATGGTTGGATCAATCCGATCAACCAATAGTGGGATTATCTGATCATTTTTTATCATGATAGCTCTTGATCTAATCCATTTGTAATTAATTGAAATACAAATTATTTAAACATGTTATGTATGAAAAGCATGGTGGCACGCATTTGCAACATTGTGTAGCATAATTTATATAAATAATATAGTACACATATTATTTATATAATAATATATTATATATATTTATATTTAAGTTTAAATCGTAGCTACTCTTGTAGTAATGTGGTTATGCGCCTTGTTTTACATACATTTAGTTTAGGTTTGAATCAACACTCAACATCTATTTTTTCAGTTTAATTTTAACGAACCAATTTCGAGTCAAACACGAGCCGAACACAAACACGAATATTTAAATCGAGCCGAACACAAACACACTGTTCACGATCCGTTTTCGAACACTAGTCGATTTCGAACACGAACAATTTCGAACGAGCCGAACACAAGCCAAGCATGAGCTCGCTCAAGGTCGACTCGTTTACAGCCCTAATTATGTTACCAAAATCAAAAATAGTAGCAATAGCATGCTTCTATAAGTTAAGAAAGACCTTTCATAAATCATAATTCGTTATTAAAGAATCTATTTAAACGAAGTTAAAACTCACAATTTTTTTCTAGCTTTTGCAATAAAAAAATGTTCTTTTACTCACATTTTATTATATAAGCGAATGTCCATAACTGAAATGATCAACATCTCTATTACTTTTTTACTTTATTTCTTGCATATCATAGTTTGGTTCCATCATTAAGAAGTCCACTTTCTCTTGTTGATCAATATTTAGAACCAAGACTTCAATTTCTTTTGTCCTTCTACTCATCAATCATGAGAAAAACATCATAAAAACACATCATTGCACATCTATAAGAAGAAAACAAGATTGAATAATAACCGAACTATAATCTCTAAGGAGTCTTCATGTCAATATTCAATGCACATTATGGTTGAATGATATATGTTTTCCCATTACAATCAATAGATGCACCAAGTATTGTATTATTTATTAATACAAAATTGAATCATTCATCAAGTTGTGTTCTTCGTGAACATATAGTTGAGTTAATCATTGACATTAAATATCTACGCTCTAGATATATGTCTCATCCTCACTTGTTCCATAATTATCTTATCCTTTTGATCATTGTGTTGTTGTTGTACTCACAATACAATCATCACTTCTAGATCTATGCAGAAACCTCAATTGCATCACAATCAACCATCTCAAGGTATACATCACATTCTCATTTTCATCTTAGACATCGTTTCCAATATCACTACAATTTGGATTATGACACAATTATCTTATTCTACACATGCACCTCATTTTTTTGTAGTATAGTAATCATCTTCTAGGTCTACATTGCTATCTTGATTTAACCATGACTCCCTCCATAAATACCCCGACCATTAGCCTCACTTGTACCACATTTGTCTCCTTCAAAACTTAGGTTGTAACCTAGCATGCATTATGACCTAGCTTATGTCACTATCATCATTTTTAAGACCTTCATTATATACTAACTTACACTCGAGCTATCTTTTTCAGAACTTATAATACATTCTTGGATATGCCATTCTTAACTATATTGTTAGCATATCTTTATTTAACATCATTATTTAAGCCATCAATATTGGCCATACTTCTATAAATAACTTTAATGATCACTCTTTGAGTGGTCGCATTGCATTTACTACCTAATTAACACATGTTGCCTATACAGTTGAAAAGTTTTCATTAATAAATCATCCTATTAAGCGTGACCTCTATTAATGCCAACTAACCTAAATTAGAAAAGAAAATGATGGACATCCAATAAATGATTAAACTCTTCACTTTTTAAAAGCATTTTTCTACCATTAATTACCTAGGTGGCAATCAAAGAAACTCCCCTTTGCTTGAAGTTAAGAACACCAAGTTTGATGCTCCAAACTTCAATTTAGTTGCTATACATCACACCATGTGTTCAAGAGATTGCAATGTGGAGTGGATATACACATTGACGTTGTAAGAGTGCCTGAAGTTTAAAGAGATCTGAAAAAACTTTTCTTTTTTTGAAGTTTCATACAAATGGAAGAATTTACATAAAGAACTTATAAGAAGATATGATCTCTATGCATGCGTACAACATGTAATCTCTAGGCAATATCTTAGAAGTGATTTTTGAAAAAGCAATCTTAGTTTGAGATGAACAAGGCTTTCACGATTTTGAATACGATTGTATGAGCATATGATGCATCTCATAAAGGGTTAGTCAATCCTCACTCTTTACTAAATTTGATTTAACATTCTTTTCATAGTGGGTAACGATTACTGAGTAAAGCTCTAACCAAAATCCTTAGAAAAACATTCAAATTTTTTGGTAGATTCAGCATGACTATTTTTATGATGGAATAGTCATTGAGTAATGATCCAAATAATAATCATGAAAAATATTCAAAATTTATGGTGGATTCAATTGTTATGGGCAACGTGCTGTGACTAAAAAAAGGAATATTTGAAGTCGTTGCTACATGAGAGTTCAAATAATTGAAAGCAAGTTCTTGAAAATAAGATCGAATATGCCAGTTCAGCTGTATGAACCAAGAATATGGTACGTTTGGTTTGCCTTTGAACTCCTTTCTGCATTAAACTGGAAAAAACCTGATTGAACCATTAGTTTGGCCTGTAAAACGACAAACTAGTCTCAATTATATAAAATCAATCGGTCTAAATAAAATCATCTTTAATTCTCAATTCAATGATTTTACTTTTTTTATTTACTTTTAATTTATAAATTATATTAAGCTAAACTTATAGCCATAAATTCAAGAACTTTTAAATCTTATTAATATGTGCTTGGGTTAAGCTAATTCTTAGCATGTTCATTTCTCAATATGCTCTCTCTAATGATGTATGGCTAAAAACATTTTGAATATATGGAAACCTTAATTGGGCTATAATACGAAGAATTGGGCTTTCAGATTATTAAATGGGCTATCCGATAAACAAATATAGTAGAAATATTTTAAATATAAACTTTATATTCTTATCAGTTATTATAATCTATATTTACTACAAAATATATACTTATTATAAGCTATATAACATATTTAATATACAAGCTATGATATAATTTATAATAAAAAATATAACATATGTAAATTAAATAATTTAAAAACTTTAAAATTACAATACTTATAAACATTTTAATCACATTTTATATTCTTTTTATTATTATTATTATATATAAATTTTATTTATTTTTATCATGTATTTATATTATTAAATCATTTACATTGAAAAACAAACTATATAAAAAATAATAATTCGTAGGACTTATTATTTATTTTGTCAGCATGAAGAAGAAGCAGAGCTGGAATGGCTCTCAAACTTCGTCGAGGATTCCTTCTCAACCGAAGAGCTCCACAAGCACCACCTCATCTCCGGCCTCAAATCCGCCTCCTCCCCCCCAGCACACGCAAACACTTGCCCCTTCACCGCCTCCGACGATCTGCCGCCGTTCGCGGTGGAGGCTCCGCTCCCCGGCAAAGCCCGCAGCAAGCGCTCCCGATCCGCTCCCTGCGACTGGTCCTCACGCCTCCGCCTCCTCTCTAAAACCGCCACGAAGAAGAACAAGCGCCCATCTCTGGCGGCTCTGTCGCCGTCCTCCGACGGCCGGAGATGCCTTCACTGTGAGACGGATAAAACGCCGCAGTGGCGAGCGGGTCCGATGGGGCCGAAAACGCTATGTAATGCCTGCGGGGTGAGGTTCAAGTCCGGCAGACTCGTGCCGGAGTATCGGCCGGCGTTGAGTCCCACTTTTGTGCTCTCGAAGCATTCGAACTCGCACAGGAAGGTTCTTGAGCTTCGCCGGCAGAAGGAGATTCAGGAGCAGCAGCAGTTTTTGTTACCGGTTTCTAACAAGGGGGCGGCGGAGGAGGTGGAAGATGAGTTTTTGATCAGCGGCGGCGAGGTTTCTGATGAATGGATTTAGGGATTAGGGTTAATTTTAGCATTGTCGGGCTAATTTGTATTTTTCTTTTTTTTTTTTTTTTTTTAATTTTTATTTTTATTTGAGGAAATTTAGTTTCCAATAGAAGAAGGGTTAAGATATGGGACACGAATCTTAATGAGGTTTTTCTTCTGAGTTCTTACATGGAGAGTTTTTAGTGGGCGCTGAATAATTTTATTTGGAAAAAAAAAATTAATTTTGTTAAAATTTTTATTGTTTTTTTTTTTTTAGATGGATGTGTCTTTATTTGAATCATGGTTGGGGGGAGGTTAGGTAAGTTTGTGAAAATCAAATCGTTTATTGAATGAGGTGAAGAAGAAATTCAATGTTTAATGGTTCAACTAGGAGTTGGGTTAAACCAGGGGTTCAACTGTGACCTAGTAAATATTAAAATTATCATATTATGATTTAAATGTTGCATTAATATAAATATGTGATAAGGAATAAATAGACTCATGCATGTGTAATAGTTTTACTAGCATTTAATTCAAAGCTTAGTGTAATGCATATTAAGATAAAAATATGTGTGCATTAATAATAAGTAAATTCTATATCTCTGCCATGTGTGCTACAGAGTAGTCGATCCCATGTTGGTCTTCTAGCATCTGCTTGTGCAACTGACGGATCTCTTCGTTCATTGCATCCACCTGTCTGGCAAGAGCCTCCTGGTCTGGTTGTGAGAAGCTCGGGGAACTTAGTACGAGACCATGGGAGATGTCAACCTTGAAGGTTATGGCCTTCGCTCCAAGGTCATAAATCTTTCTTTTCTTTTTTCCTACCACCTCAATCCAGAGATCGTACTCAGACTGCGTGGTGGTAGACTAACTGTCACTGTTGCTAGCAAAAATATGGGCTTCAGTGGCCAAGTGCCTATCTGGAGTTGCTCGAACCCCTTTTGCATACTTAAAACTAGGCTTAATTGACACTTTCTACAGTTAGAGTCAAAATAAACTTTTAATTTGAGGTTTTTATCTTACAAAAGCACATCGGAAAAGTTGTAAGACCCACTATGAAGTCCTCTGAAGTCGATGAGTTCGGACATGCAGCTCTGCAACGGAGGAAACACGGCTCAACTCCTTGGCCTGTTTATCATATAAAATTGGTTAGCACTTCAAAATTACTCTGTATAATGAATTAAGTTTTAAATATTTAAGAGAATCTTACCAGCCCTATGTAGTGCTCTGTATGGAGGACTTATCCACCAATATGGAGCGCACCTCCCCTAGCCCCTTCCATCGTCAACCAATTCGTCTGGTTCGTCTGTCTCGTCCTCTCATAATTAGAAGAGGTCCAGGTTGCGATCAACTGAGCCCTTCATTGATCCAGGCAGGCCACTCGCCCCTCCGACAGACTATCGTGAACATGTCTCCAGAGCGATGTCTGCCCCAAATATCGAAGATTCAACGGATCTTATGGCGGTGCTCTGATAGCTAGGAGAAGGACCTCTGCAACGTAAAAAATAATCCATGTGTTAGTATAAAAAAATTAAATCAAACTTAAAAATAGCGACTACAAAGATCTACTACATCCATGAGAGATAGGACTGATCGTACATGTTCCCGATAATCTTGAAGATACAAGTGACACACATCTTCTAGGGAATAAATCTGCTTAATAAACAAATTAGTTACAAAAAAAAAACATATATAGCATGAAGAATTAATATATTACAATGTTAAAAAAGAACTTACAAGTCCTCATCAGACAACAAATATATTCTCGGGTGGGGGGTGGAAGTGACAGACGTCATAGAGATGGGGCAACAAATGAGGGAGTAGGTGGAGAAGGAAGTGATAGGCAACAACAGTAACAGACGCATCAGATGAGGGAGTAGGTGCGGAAGCGACAAACGTCACAAAGGATCGTACAGCAGCGGGTGCGGGAGCAATTGTCACGGGAGGGGTGGCAACAACAGGTGCAGGAGCAGGTGCCACATGAAGCGGGGCAGCACTAGGTGGGGGAGCAACAGTGGGAGCAATGGCAGAAGTGGACAACCTCTTCTTCCTGCAATGGTAGGTGGTCTCTAGTGTCCCAAGAACACAGAGTCTCTGAGATGGCTCACCATCTTTGGCCATTTGCAAAGAAAGGAACAAGATTAGTACTAACAAAAAAAATAATCATAAGCAGAAAGAAAAAAAGTGCAGTAAAGGTAAGAAACAAGTAACATATATGTCTAAAAACAGGAAAAGTGAGAGTAAAGAGATATGTCTCAACACAACAAAAGTAAAAGACAAAAAATAGCAGTAGTAATCACTAATCTAAAATTACATACATTTGTTATTAAGTTTCATCAGAGGAAATCATTTTCGAAGATGAACCTAAAATTTCTTCTTCACCCTCATTATCATCCTAATTCACACCATGAGTAACCTCTTCAAAAATCCTTGTAGTATCGTCTAGTGCAAATATTTCATGTTTTGTGTTTCCTTGAATATGAAAAAATCTAACATACCTTTCTTCTGGTGAATTGGTTTTATAGTACTATACAATAGTTTTCCTTGATTTATTCTTCATAATCACAGGGTGAATTGGTTTTATAGTACTATACAATAGTTTTCTTTGATTTATTCTTCATAATCACATCCCAATCAACTTTATCCTTACTTTACCAGGGTATTGAAGTTCATAAGTCTATGTAGCTTGGCGTGCCATAACAAATGGATGAAACTTCCCATATGTTCTGGTTAATTTGACTTCAGTGATATCATAAGGCGTGAGTGTTCGATTTCGTGATTTTTAAGATGATCAAACAACAGTTAAACGAGTTAAACGAGTACACAATGTAC